AAGTGACGGGAACGACAACTGAACTGGCACCTCACTCTCCAAGCCTCCACACCATGCCAAATTGAGGACTTTGAGTATCTACAGATTTAAAGTGCATCACCTCCTCCACAGCGGACACAGGACTCGATTCTACGATTTAATTACCCCGGGCATGAGCTCGTGATCATGACCAATCAGATACCATGGCCAAAACATTTTTCAAAATGCTGCATAAAATATGAATAAAGAAACTGAATTTAAATAGAGAAAGAGATTATATATATATACCCAAAAATTGTAACTTTTCTTGCTGTCTTTTTTTTTTAACTCAAAATGAAATATGTGCAAATTAAGAGTCAATGAACTGTCAATGGTTCTATAAGGATATAAACAGGCATTTTACATTCTTACACCCCCCCACACACATATATATGCCGCTCCACATATTTATAAATCTCCCTAGATTTTCCCTTGAAAACTGATCAGATAGCATTTTTGTTCATTTTGAGCAACTATAAAACTAAATTATCTATGGGTGTTTTTGTATTAATGGCAAAGGCTTCATGAGAAATCGCAATATATTGACAATGACAAAAACTCCATATGAATAAGTTATGGCGTTCGAATCAATGATCAGTACCAATTTTTCCTATCGTGCAACAGCAGGTCGGATGGGATGCAATGCTACAATAAGGAAATCAATGTGAAATAAATAAGCCCAAGAGAACTGAACATGTCAAAAATCCGACAATGGACAATGAAAGGTCGTGTTAGTATGGGAGGATAGACACATCATCCCTTTGGCAGTGATGGATTGCACAACTTCATCTCGACAGTTGGCAGAACATAGGAGAAGTGCTACAAATGTGTCACTGTTCCAGAGTTCCCTTGTAAAAAAGCTCCTGTGCAGAAGAGTTCCTTTGTTCCCTCATGTTTTGCGTGAAGGAAATCTTGGCGACTTTCTCACGGACTCCCGTGATTTCGTCGGATCTCTATATAATCTGCTGTACTGATTGACCTAGTCGCTCTACAGGTAAATATCACCTTCCGAAGTGCGTTACCGAAGTCCACACTGGAGAAAAGCCAAGCATGATGACATGACGCCAGTGAGTAGTATGGAGATTGCAGCTGCTAAGAAAATAAGTAACCACAACAGTAACATAACAAAAGATCGAAGTCTAGTCCTTCCTAGATATGAATTTCAACAGGACAATGGCTAAAAACGTGTTCAAGTTTTCTTTTCTCACAACAGATACAATTTCTTCCCTGCCCTGTCTATTCATTGAATATGTCGTTTATTGAGCATTTCTGGGATTTCAACAGTCACAATCTCCTTCTCAATACTTGTTCCGGACTTTTAAATATGAACTTTGGGTTGGCAAAGAAAAAAATAATCTTCGTGTGCTCACTGGCGTAAGGGAGAATATCTCTATCACGCCACTGAGCACATGAAGAACATTGCAGCCCCCCTGCAAAGCAGGTTTTGGGTTCAAAGCTGGATTTTACAAAAGTGCATAGTTGGTGTCAGTCATACTTTGAGCCCCTAGAATTCTGCCCCTCCCCACGATGTGGGAGTAGCGTAGGGTGTAAGATACGCCACTGCGTGTGTTCTTCCTCAAGCATAGATTCAAAATATGGTTGATTTGATTCCACGGAATAAGGAAACATTTATTGCAGTACATGAAGACTTCTCTAAGTACTGATTTTGAGATGCAATTTTGTTCCCGTCCCCCTTTTGTTGTTTTAATTACTAATTTGTATCAATATAGGTTGTTTGTTGAATAAATATCTCTCATTCATTTCTTATGAAATCTTTAGAAGTGTTATTTTTAAAAACACGAATGTGTATGTAACGTATCACTTTATTTTCAAAGCCACGTGTTATAAACGAATGATGTTTTCCTAGGTGACAAAAAAAAGAGGAATAAAGTGTTTTTAATTGCATATAAAATACTTTGTTATTCGTATTTAAATACTTATTATATAAGGTATCCGATTACATTTGGAACCGTTATTTAAAAAAAAAGCGCATAAATGGACAATTTTCATGATATTTGGTGTCACATTAAAATACATGTATAAAATTGTTTTAAATACATTTTGACAAAAAAAATTATTTAAATACAATATTTTGGCAAAAAATTAACGTAATGTTTCAAAATGTTCTCCTTTTATAAAAAATGCTTCTAAAATAATAAAATATTTTGCTTATATAAAGTAAAGACTTTTCCAGAGAGTCTGAACTATGATTTTTGAAAAATTCACTTTATTTTCAGAGTTACAATCAATTGAAATAATTAATGGCGTTTTTTTTTCTTAAAATTTCTCTCCTCCTCTGTTGTCGTAAAACATGGATAAACCCACTTCTAAGCTATAGATTTCAAAAATTCTAGTTGAGCTTTTGTACAGAGGTCTGAGCTATATACAGGAAAATGTTATTATAATAGAAGCATTTTTCACAAAAGGAGAATATTTTGAAAATTTGTCATTCTACGTTCATTTTTTGTCAAAATATTGTACTTAAATAATTTTTTATTGTAATAATATTCTTAAAATAATTTTATATACATTTTCTAATCCAAGAGACAGTAAATATCATAAATATTATTCATTTATACGCTTTTGCAAAATCACGATTCCGAACGTAGTCGGATACCTTAACGTTGGAAATACAAAGTTTTACAAAATCAAAATGACTACTTTTGCAAGAAAGCCGGCTAGGTGACTTGGTTTGCCGCTGGTCTTGTGTTTCTAAGGTTGCGGGTTCGACCCCGGCTCAAACCAGTGGATTTTCATGATGTGGAATATCGACAGATTCCATATCGTATGATTATGCGACATGTTAAAAATCCCAGGAATGGCCAGTTTGGCTTGGGTGCTCTCGGCAAAATTAAAATTCAGAGAACTATTCCGCATCGTCAAAGTTTAGGTGCCTTTATCTGGGGAAGGAAACGGGGGTCAAAATTACTTTGCAGCGATGGGTATTTCACGTATATTGTGCCGCTCTAAAAAAGGATGCTAGCTCCCACAGAATGCAATAGGACTGCAGTGGTAAATAACAATCCGCAGCCCCAATGAAAAAAAATCTCTTGCAAGAAATAACACGGTACTGAACTTAAAACAGGTGAAAAATTAACGTTATTATAAAATTGAAGTTGTAATAATACCCATTAGAGTTATTCTATCGCATTATTTTAGTTACCTTAGAATTTCTAGGGCCCCCAAAGTTTAACTGACGCTAAGTTCGTGATTGGGCTAAGGCCCTAAGACTCGAGTTTTCGGGGGAGGGGAGGCCCTAATGTTCTCCGTTACGCAATTGGCTGGCCTAATTTCTGAGAACGTGATTTATGAATAAATACATAGTAACAAATATAAAAATAATAGTCCAATACCATATATAGAAAGGAAAATCGCTTTCTATTTCACCACTTAATATTGTGATTCTGTCATATGTATATACATACTTATATTAATTGTAATTATTTAATAAAAAATAACTAAAATAAAAAAATTTCTTTGCTGTCCTAAGTAGGAATTGGCTTTTAAATTTTTTATATTACTTTGTTTTAGTAACAATTTAATCTCGTGTTTTTTTATAACCGTAAAATTCCTTACATAACCCGCACTTTTGACCCAAAAAATAAGATCGAAATTTACGGGTACGCGTTATACGCCAGGTATGAAAACGAGAGCTTTAAAAACAAAAAAGATGCACATAGAAAAAAATTAGACCTCTACATCGATCTAAAAGCCGTTTATTTAATAGAAATGGCATTCCTTATGAACTTGCTGTTCTAGAAGTGTCCTATTTTTTTCTAAAGCGAGGAATAATACCTCAGATAAAGGACTTCAAAACATAAGAACATTGTAAAACTACATTTCTGGTTTCTTCGTAAAAAAGGGGATTCGTGTTATACGACGAATATACCTAAAAATTAAAAATTGTAGCTTGAAAGTATAAGTGCGTGTTACAGGCCGGATTTTACGGTAATTAAAATCTAAAGAAAATAATTCTTTATACTTGAAACAAATGTTTCCGAAAGAACCTAAGCAAAAACTTTCCCTTTCTAAATTCGCTTATTCAATTCCTACTATTAGTTCACGGTCTCCCTTTATATATATATATATGTATATATATATATATATATATATATATATATATATATATATATATATATATATATATATATATATATATATATATATATATATATATATATGAAATACTTCTATAATATTTCTGGAGAGTGGTAAAAATAATTGTAAGACGTGGCGAGTGGATGTTATTACTGTAGCGAACCAAAGGTAGGGCGTGGCCGATGGCGAGTGAATGACTGTATATTAGATACATTTTCTATGTTGGTTGATGTTACGTATTCAATACTATAGAGGAGGCAGTCTGGGACATTAATCCAGTTTATTGCATTTTGAAACACATAGAGATCAAGTAGGGACGGCACTACACATAACAAGAAGCAAACATCATGGCACAAACACAGACAAAGACAAACACAGAACGCGTGGCAGCCGGTTGATTACATGATGAAGGCAAGCAGACAAAAGGGAGCGATTACTCAAAATTTTTCCTTCTATACCGGCAGTGGTTATTACGTAATAGTAATTCTGATTGGATATAATGGGCGGGACAGGGATTTCGGACTAGCCGATTACGATTAAGATTACACAGTGTTGTTTTTTAAGCCAAAGAATTAAAAGATTATTTGAATATTGTTAAAAAGAGTTAATTAAAAGGATGCTAGGGGGAATGATTATATATATATATATATATATATATATATATATATATATATATATATTGTTCAAATTTTCAATCGATAATAAAATACTTTCTATTCATCCATTCATGTTCAAAAACATTTTTTAAACTTGTAGGGGATAACACTTGATGTTAATACAGTTTTTTCGAATATTAATTCATAATTTAAATTAAAAAATGAATAAATAGTAACTAACAAAAGTAATAGTCCAACAAAATAATAGCAAGGAACATCGTTCGATGTGTCCCTGTCGAGCATTGGATAGCGCGTTGGATTTTTAATCCAAAGTTCATGGGTTCGAATCCCAAATAGGGTCACCTAATTTCTGAAATGTGATTTCCTTTTACTCAACTATTTTATTAGAATAATTATATTAAATTTATGAGAAAAAGTAGTAATAAACAAAAATAACAGTCCAACACATTGTATAGAAAGGAAAATGGAAAATTGCAAGGAAAATCACTTTCAATTTTGCCTCTTAATATTGTGATTCTGTCATATGTACATACATATTTATATTAATTGTAATAATTTAATAAAAAGTAACTAAAAGAAAGTTTTTCTTTGTTGACCTAAGTAGAAATTGACTTAATTTTTTTATATTACTTTTTTCTTCTATATCTTAATAAAAAAAGGAGATTTGATACTATCAAAATTTCGTATTTGATATGAAGAAAGAACCCAGAAGAAAGATACCCAGAAGAAAAGCAAATGAGATCAGATACACATACGTGACAGTTGTCTTGATCGTGAAGCATCTTATCTCATTTAAGATCTTTCACTGTTCCACGAATCTTGCCTAAACCTTGCAAGGACGTTTCACATGTAGCCAGCATGTCGGGGACGTTTTTTCCTACACCACTTTGTTATCTCCCTTTATTTCCCTGCTTTACCTGTTCCGTATCAGAGTGCGTACTTTTGCAAAAAATAAAACTAAGAAAAAAAAAGATATTCTCAAATGAAAAACATTTCCTTTGAATCTTATTTTATAGTTCGGTTAAAATGAAAATAATGTTCTAAAAAGTAATCCATGTTGAAATACATGTTATTGTTTCTATGCTGTGAAATTAAATTCAGACATTAAAATTTTTCTTACAAAACTTCATATTAAATTTTTGAAAACGAAAAAATATTTTTTGAGGCTGTTTTTGCCAAATGTATGAGAGTCTGAACCAAACACGAAGCACATTTTCAGACAGAACAAGTAATATAAGAAAAAAAATTAAGTCAATTCCTACTTAGGTCAATAAAGAAAATTTTTTATATTTTAGTTACTTTTTATTACATATTTACAATTAATATAAATATGTATAAGCATATGACAGAATCACAATATTAAGTGACAAAATAGAAAGCGATTTTCCTTGCAATTTTCCATTTTACTTTCTATATATGGTGTTGGACTATTTCGTTTGTTTGGTTTGTTACTATTTTTTTATTAATTAAATTTAATTATTCTAATAAAATAGTATAGAGAAAAGGAATCACATTCTCAGAAATTAGGCCATCCCAGTGGGTTTCGAACCTACGACCTTTAAATTAGAAGTCCAAAGCGCTACCCATTGCACGACAGGGACACAACGAGCGATTTTCATTTCTATATATGCCATTGGACTATTATTTATGTTTGTTTCTATTTCTTCAATTTTTAATTTAATTAAGAAAATTAATATTTAAAAAACTGTATTAACATCAAGTGTCATCCTCTACAAGTTTCAAAAAATGTATTTGAACTTGAATGGATGAGTAGAAAGTACTTTATTAACGATTGAAAATTTGAACAAGATATATATATCGTCGGTCTAATTATCAGACTGCGTAACTCCATCTGGGATGCTAATTTGATACAGTAGGGCTAGGCGCCAAGTTTTTGTTAATGTTCGCCAAGATAGGCGATAATATTACAATCATGAATTGCAAATTAAACAAAAAAAAAGCTTTTTGCATATCTCAGCAGAACAAAAAAAAAAAATATTAAATTTTAAGCCTGTAGATCTAATAGCTGATAAAAAGGATTTTTTTTTTTATTTACTCCCTGTAAATCTCTTGTGAGTTGATTTTTGAAATCACCCTCCTAAACTGATCTCTCCTCAGCAAAAGTAACACATTGTTACAAATTTTGTGTAATGAATGCTTAAAATAGTGTAAATAATTTATATCTGGAAGTCTAATACATTAATATTACTTTCTGTTGTATTTATTTTATGTTAAAATCTTGCCACCACCTCTCCCTTCGAAATCTAGATTTATTATGAAATAAAAAAAATAGTAATTATATATATACTGATCGAAGGAATAAATTAAAAGTGGAGCGCGCACTGAGGCATGGCGTAGACAAAACTAAAGGGAATGTTTTGCTTCACCGCTGCTTGGCGCGTTGCACTCCCATATCAAATCAAAGAGACCGGTGGAGTTACGCAGTCTGATAACTAGGCCGACGATATATATAGGGAGAGAGTGACCTAATAGTAGAAATTGAAAAATTCTCTCAATTTTCGTGAAAATTTTCAACATTGTAATTCATTTATCCGTTTATATAATATAGCGTTTCTAAAATATAAAAATATTCCATAAGAAATTATTTTTTCATGTTAGCATGTAAAGGGAATGGTCATTCAACATTATGGTGTAGAAGGAAAATGCGAAACACATATTTTATAAGATTAATAAGATTATAAGATTTTATAAGATATAAAAATAAATTAATGTCAATTCCGTCTTAGGTCAACAAAGATAATTTTTTTCGTTTATTAAATTTAATTAAGGAATTAATATTTGAAAAAACTGTATTAAGATCAAGTTTCATCCACTACAAGTTTAAAAAAATGTATTTGAAGCCAAGAAAAAATTCGTTAGAAAAAGGTACTGTCGCTATTTGTTTTGTAGGTAGGTTCTAACTACATTAGAAATAACGTTTATTAAATTTGAAATAAAAAAAAATAAAATTTAATTAATGAATTAGTATTTGAAAAAAAACTTATTAACATGAAGTGTCATCCACAACAAGTTAAAAAAATGTGTTTGACCTTCAGTGGATGAATAAAAAGTGTTTTATTGACGATTGAAAATTTGAACAAAATATATGTAAATGCATACTCTCAACAATAATACGAAAATATACTAAAAAATTTACGTTTGTTACATTCATAGGATAGGATAAAGTTTATTGGTTTTAATTGGAACCTTATGTTCTGATATCTTTTTGAAAAGACCCAATCTATAGCTGCACATCAAGACTAGTTTGCTTAAGAACAGTTTTGAATATAGAAGCATTCTAACATTTATGTTTTTAGAAATTAACTCCTGACTATAGATATAAAATTTTATTACAATCGACTCTCGCTTATACAAACGTTCGATAATACGAACCTCTCGGTAATTCGAAGTATATGCTCAACCCCTATGAAAACTCTTGATATTTCGAACTACAACAATATGTTTTGAGGTACACTCAATATGTAATATTATATTTCGAAATAAAATCTGTGACTGGCAAAACTACACACACGATAACTCGGAGTTATCTTTTACGACTCTCGACAATTCCAACATTTTCTATCATGTAGAGTCCAGTATCAAACAGATTGGAGCTTACATGTTTTGTGTTGTATTATCTCTACCTGTCTCTCCTGTAACGTAGCCCCTTTGATGGTTATCTGTCTACCATCCCTTCTTTGTGTTTCTGGTTCCTCAAAAAAGACACTTTTATTGCTTTCCTTTTTCAAGTGGACAATAGACCAGCCACACTTGTTGTCAGCCGTCCATATCTTTCCTTTAACTCGGAGCCTTGTTACACATGTGTTCATAAAAAATCGTTCGCTGTTGTGAAGAAGAGATGCGTAGGATTGTGTATCTTTAGTCGGAGTGACATGACGATTTATGACTGATCTGTGTGACTTATGGCATGTAGAACCAGATAGGGTCTGGGCTGGATTGAACACTGCCTTGAAGAATCAATGGTGTTGGAGACAGTGTCTGAGGAAACCGATTACAGATTAAACAGATTTTTAAGGGTAAAAGAGTAAGAGTATAAATATATATATATATATTATATATATATATTATATATATATATATATATTATATATATATATATATATATATATATATTATATATATATTTATAATATTATATATATATATTATATATATATTGATAATATATATATATATATATATATATATATATATATATATATACATATAGTGTTACTATGCTATTAAAAGATAAATACAAGAATTATATATAATTTACAACATTTTAAATACGTACGTTTAAGAGTTACATGTAATTATACCCATCATTGCTCAACGTGGCCGTGGTAGCCTAGTGGTCAAAGTAACAAACTCGTGGTCGATGTATCATGAGTTGGAGTCTAGCACCGCTGAAGACCCGCCGTGTAGGGGAGCGAAATCTCGAGAGCTAAATCGCCCTCTCGTTGGTGTGGTGTGGTAGATAGGAGAGGGGTGCCAGATGTCGTCCTCGTCACTTGAACGGGGTTCAAAATTAAGAGGTCCGTCAACAAAAGCCCTCGTGTAGCTGAACAGTGCGACGTTAATATTCACTTGTTCAATGGCTCGGCAGTGCTAGGTGGGACCTGGCCTTCTCCAGAAGTTTTCTCCACCCATCTCTACTTTTGACAAATGTTTTCCAGTTTTTGACCTCTAAAATATTTCCCTTTATATATATACTTCCTACTAGTTTATGAATATTCTATTGTTTACTATCCTGAGTAACAATGAGATAATTTTATACACGTTAGTACAATGTCTAGCAAAACTAAATAGTTTTCTAATGGAAAAGGCACATTTTTTATAATTGTAGAAAAACATGTACAACATATCAACAGATTCGGTGTTAAAAATCTAATTTTAAGCAAGAACATATAAATTTTAGGCTGCAAATTCTTGCAAAATACACAGTATTTCTCATAGAGCTATAAACATTTTAATGACATTCAGAATAAACATGTGTAAAAGAAAAATATTTCTCAACGTGAGTGGATATAAAAACAAAGTATAGAAACAAATGGAACTCAGAACATGTAATGCGATTGCAGTAAATCACAATAGACCTAGACTTCGATAGTTTGTGTGAAAAAATGCAAGCACATGTCCCAGTTACTAATCATAATGTGCATGTTTAGGTGACACTTGAATCATAGATTAATATTTTTAACGAGTAAATTACATTAAAAGTAGAATAAAAAATTTTAATAATAAATGTAATACTTTTTTAATTGCCTTTACATTGATCTATTGTTGGTCAACTTTAAATATTATTTTAACATATATTCTTCTGTGTGTGTAGAATAGG